GGGGGAGGGAAACTGTATTGACCAGTAGCCATCTTCTTGGACTGATGCTTCCGTTTCTGCCAAGTCGCGGTGCTTCCGTTTGAAGGCGCAGTGTCTGCTTGTGAATTTGAATGTGAAGGTGTGTAGTTCACACTGTACTCGTAGTTGTTCGAACTATGCGCGTTATGTTCATACGCGGCAGAGAAGTCTAGGCAGGAGCAAGGAGTGTCAATTGGTATTCAGAAGAAAACAACAAAGGCGAAGGGAATGGGTGAGGCAAATGGAGTTAGAAATGCACAGCATGAAGTTGTGAAATATGTGAGACGGACGGAAAGAAAGGGTGAAGCGCAGCGTACCTGCCATTTTGTTGCAGTGTCGTGCACGGGCTCGAGGGCAGCTGACTCATCAAGCTCCTGGCGCGTGGTGTTCTATCAAAAAAATCCAGACGAGCTCAATGTTCTTGCAAAGTCAACGTTGACGCTTGATGTTGCGGTTGAAAAAACAAAAAGTTTGCATGGAGATTTCGAAGGTATTGAGGTTAATTAACTGCGAAGATATTCACTCTGGGCAGGAAATACTTCCAATATCACGTGGCTTGACAAAAGGCCACTACGTCGCCTTCACTTGCGCAACTCGGAGTGTTCAGCGGTGGAATGAGGATAGAAAAGGCTATTTTGCGATAAGGACTTTACTCAAACTTGAGTCTGGCCTGCAGTGTTGCGTTTGATTGAGTGTAGCAAATCGATTTTTTCAGAAGTCGGCTTCTACTGAAAGAGTCACCACTTTATCGTCGTTGTCGATTCTGTGGTTATCCGGAAGGAAGGTGTTCGTGGTTGTCTTTGGATAAAGCCAGTCAATTGTTTGTGGTTTTTGGAAGGGTCTAGGGGAAAGCGGTCTTGAGAAAAGGAAGTCAGAAGTCGAGAGGCGAGGCTTTCACAACAAGAATTCACCAGACCAACGCAGCGTTCACAGACCAAATTGGGGTGCTCTACATCAACGCTTCCATCTACTGAAGTACTCCGCTTCTACGCTCCCACCCGGCTTATTCGTATCCCTTTGATATCTACCGCCATGTTCATCCTAGCAAGTCACTTCCTCCCCTCCTAACAACACTTTAATTCTAATAATTTCAAGACCAAAATAGCGGACCTGGTCCAAATCGAGCCCAAAGACTTCAACAAGGACTCGAACATGGCAATCGAGGACAACATAAACCTAAAATATTCGAATAAAGTAATCCAAAAAATTGGGCTTTGCGTCTGCTTGTACGATCTTCTATCTGCTTCAGATGGGCTTATAGGTCATGGCACTGGACTTATCAACGTGAACGGTACTTGCACCACGTCCCTTTCCACGAATCTCAGAGCGAAGGACTAATATGACATAGTGGAATTCCGCATGATAGTCTTCCGCCCCTTCAAAAACGAAGTAATCCTCGGCCGCATCAGCAGCGCCAGACCACAAGGAATCAACAGTCCGTACTCTCCCTTCCCCTCTTGTGTCTTTCCAAGACTAAAGCCAGCCACAGTCCGAACAAAATTCTTCAATGAAATCTGGGTTCCGCTCGAGAAACTCCCAGCTGGAACATACTTGTACATCATCCCCTGCCCCCCAATCTCTACTTTATTCATATCCCTTCCTTTCTCAGGAGATCGCTAACCCTCCTCAAGCGACGACACGGCCCAAGTAATGATCTGGGAACCCGACGGCGAGAAAATGTACTTCGATAACCACGAAACAGTGCGTTTCCGGGTAGAAGAGGAAGAGTGGAATGATGCTGCGCCTGTAGGACCAAAGAGGGAGGGCGTCGAGGTCGAGAGGAAGAGTCCGTATAAGTTGGTTGTTAGTATGGAGGAGCCGGGCATGGGACCATGTTTGTGGTGGGATGAGGATATGGAGGGTGAAATGGAAGTTGATGGTTAGGGGAGATGGAAGTTGACGATCAAGGGAGAAGAAGGTGTATATCTGTGCGGCTGGAGAACTTTGTCTGCATTTGAGTGGCGTTGGTATGGTATAGAAAGGTCTCTGGTACATACCCAAATTTAGATGGATCGGAATAAAAGTTTGCTTGTACCTTGTAAGAGTTACCCTTACTCCATTCGTCAACTTTCAGTGTGTCAGCACAATTTATCCTCCAGCAGTGAGCCACTGAAGCTTTCATCACTTTCATCAATCTCTATTTACTGGAGGGACTTCTGAGCTTTGGCGCTTTGGGAAATTGTAGGCTCCGACTTAGCCATGAACGATACATCAGCCTCCCAGGCAATGGGGGCATTTAGAGTAAGAAGCACAGCAATGGACGTTCACAGGCGCCATTGCTGATCATTTTGTAGCCCAGTGTTGTTCGTCTAGCAGTTATTCCTATGCCTCCCCGCCCTGTCGCAGCTACAGTATATGACCCCGGCCCGGACGGGGTGCAATAAGGTATATATGAACTCAAATATCACTTATAGCCACCACATACGACCATAGACTGAGGAGGATTGGGCATCCCGTCCGCTCTGCCATACACAAGCCTCAGATCGGCAGATTAGTAGTTGGGTGGGTGACCACCAGCGAATACCTGCTGTTGTATGTTTTTTTTTGGTCTTTTTGGCAACTTCTCCCTTCTCCCTAGGGTTAGCGGGGGGGAATAGTAACTTTTGCTATGCGTAGATAGTTACTTACTCCCTACCATATGAATTAGTCTACCATAACCTATTGCAGTTTCCCTGCTTTTTGATCTACCCTTGGGCAATGACAGGAAATGGTTGTCTTGTTAACGTTGCGCATGCACTAGGCCTCCTGGGTAACTAGGTTCGCGAATAACTACTACGCAAGTCTATACTTTATTCTCACCAACTAAACAAACATAGCCCATGAAGCCCAAGAAAACTATCCACGGCATACCCTGCCTGGTTTACTGACTACATTTCCAAAGAACCACCTTGAATGAGATAAACCCTCCTCTCCTTTATTTAACAGCTCAAATGTAAAACCCGAGTTTGATGAAAACGAATACGAGCTTTGCCTTGACACACGATACCTCCAACTACACTTCAACTTCAACATGACATCCCAATTGCATCTCGGCCTTCATGTACCACCATCCCAGCAAGTGTCTACCCCTTCCCCCGCCTCCAAATCACACAAACATAAGCAGACATGCCAATTACTACGACGTAAAACAGCCACCGACATGACCTACTAACCTTTGGACGAGACAGTCCGCGGTGAGCTCATATATCCTTGACGAAATGATCACCTTTTAGGTCCACCACACCAGCAACTCATCCCGTCATCAGTCATGCCTGAGATGCTCTTGTTGAACCTGAATATTCTGTACCGTACGTTCCATTCCTGGGTAGACCAATATCCTAACTTTACATGTTGAGATTTGCTTGTAAGAGTATCAAACACAACCTGTAAAAAACACGAGTGAGTGAACATGACTAACAGCAACAAACACGCACTCTAACCTAGCGATAAAACTTTCCACGTCAAGCAGCAGACAGAAGCACGAAAGTAATCGGGGTTTAAAAGTTCCAAGAGCGTAGCCAAGGAAAGAAAGTGCAAGTGAACCACCGCTCATCAGATTTTGCGGTGTCAGTTCCTGTTGGCAGCTTCGCATGCAAGCTGTCACCCAAGATTATATATACTATTTCAACACCTCCTCAACCACACATTGCATCTCATCCACAAAGCTAAAAGAAGAAAAGAAAGCGACTAGCCTCCGATCAATCAAAGATTAGGTCTAATGTATTTAGACCTTGAAAACCTGGCCACATGCTGATTGAAAGCAGATGTGTCGGTTTTATTGCTGACGCTGGCCAAGAAGTTCCAAGGTAGACTAAAGTCCTTGGTAACAGGGAAATCAGATATAGATCGCTTATGTGCTTAATATAAAGGTAAGAGATAGGGTTTATATAGTTCTGCCTTGAGAAGGGGAAAGAGTTTCAGACATAGAGAGGGGAGCTCTTGAAAATCGTGTATTATGTGAGATCTAGGGATATTCTGTCCTGTAAAAGTCCTAACTCCAGGACTGGATTTCATGATATATCTTTTGTCTTCCATGCATTTTCATAACCCCCAAACACCATTGAAAAGCCACGCATCTATCATAAGGTATCTAAGCATGTCCATTCCCATTCGTTGCAAATTTATTCGTAATCTTTGACGCCACAACTGCCTTCTCCAACGCCTGCAGCACATCGGCCTTCAAATCTTCCGCATCTTCAATCCCACAGCTAACCCTCACCAGATCATCAAAGACACCCACCGCCTCCCTCTGCTCCTTCGGAATTCCCGCATGCGTCATGCTACTCGGAACTTCGATCAAACTCTCGATCCCGCCTAAGCTTTCAGCGAGTGTGAAGAGGGAGGTGGTTTGGCAGAAGCGCTCCGCTGCTGCGTGGCCGCCTTTGATGCGGAAGGAGAGCATACCACCGCCCATGCCATTTCGGTGCTGCTTAAGAGCGATGGCACGGTGAGGATGAGAGCCTAAGCCAGGGTAATTGACTGAAATGACATGGGGAGAGCCTTCGAGGGCTTTGGCGACCGCTGTGGCGTTTGTAGTCGCTTCTCTTGCTCTTAGATGCAATGTCTTGAGTCCTCGGTGAGCCAGCCAGCTATCGAATGCGGAGGGAATGGCGCCAATTGCGTTTTGGAGGAAGCTTAGTCTCTCCTTCATAACGTCCGAGTTGAATGCTGCGACACCCATAACTACGTCTGAGTGGCCGTTGATGTATTTGGTGACCGAGTGTACGACGATATCCGCTCCATGGTCGAGGGGGTTCTGAATGTAGGGGCTGAGAAAGGTGTTGTCGACTATTACCACGATGCCATGTTCGTGTGCTTGTGATGCGACGGCTCTAATATCGACCAGACGAAGTGTAGGGTTTGAAGGGGTTTCGATCCAGACCAGCTTCGTCTCTGGTGTGATGTGATCTCTGATATCAACCTCGATCTCCGGCGTAAAAGTAACCTTGACACCATGCGCCTTTGCGACCTGTGTGAAATATCGGTGGGTTCCTCCGTAAACGTCGCTGACACTAACGACATGACTTCCAGCAGCCAAGCTTTGTAGAATGATGGCTGTAGTTGCTGATCCCGAAGCAAATGCCAAGGCGTACTTTGCATGCTCGAGCGCTGCGACAGCTTTCTCGAAATTCACGCGATTGGGGTTGGAAGATCGACTATACTCATACTGGCCGACAGGTTTGCCCACCGCAGTCTGCGCAAAGGTTGTGCTGAGGGAGATGGGCTCGATGACTGCGCCAGTGGTGGGATCATGAGGGGAACCTGCATGAACAGCGAGGGTACCGAATCTGTGGATTGGAGATGGAGCCCGGGGAGGAGTGTCAATTGGGTGGTCTGCCATCCTGTGTTGTGTTGTGTTGTGTTGTGTTGTGTTGTGTTGTATTGGAGGGGTGGAGGGGCGGGGTTGAGATTTTTATTTCCGTGTAACGAAATGTCGTATTCTAGATTCTTGGATAGGAAGAAAGGAAATTCTTTTTGTTGACTGGCACAACAAAGACAAGTACGTGTTTTGGAGTATGCGACGGAAGGAAAAACGATGGGGGAGATGGGGAGGAGGAGGAGG